CTCAGGGAAGCTACCCTCCTCCTCAGGGAAGCCACCCTCCTCCTCCTCCTCAGGAAAGTCATCCTCCTCCTCCTCCTCCTCCTCAGGGAAGCCACCCTAGCCCCCCCCCCCCCCCCCCCCCCCCCCCGAAACTATCATAAGATTAAGATATCTTAAGTTTGTCGTTAATCTAAGATAGCTCTATACCTGTCGTAAGTTTATTTTATCTTCATCCAAGATGGCGGCATACTTTTCCATAGATATTGTGCCAAACAACTAGTCCGCTTTACGTTCAAACATTGACATTTAATTTTGTAAAACTGAGTGATTCAAATTGACACTTCGAAAACACGAAGAACGCATCAAGGATTTCACGTCAAAAATGTTCTTAATCGCGACAGCGATACACATAACTGTGGAGTCGATAGCTTACATTATTTTTCTATCCAAGTCCATGCTGAAGAAGTGTGAAACAACGAACCTTTTCGATAATTTGGGAAGGATAAAAACGGAAGGTGTCGGCAGGCTACAGTAATGACCGTGACCTTATTGATAGTTTAGGTAGAGCTAATCTTAGTTCAAACTCTAGTTGAGAGTGGTTCCCTTTGTATTCGCCCGGGACACCTTGCTCAATGGTACAGTTTTCATAAACCGCAGAGTTCCGCTGTTATATTTTCTGAGTCGCATTTGTGTCAATGCTTTAGTCTTTATTTTCGCATTTTATAAAATTATATCAATCTACATATGTAAACACAACCATAAAGGTTTCGCATAAGTTTTTACATCTAAAATCGTGTCGGACGGGTGGTTTTAATAATTGAATTTTAACTATACAGTGTAGTATTTATTGACTTAACAAGGAAATACATGTGATCAAATATTTGTATACAATATCTAATATTTTTCTTGCAAAAGTAATTGTAATTTGTTTCGTTTTAAATTCAATACCTACGTTATCCTCTTGAAAGACAAATATTTGATAAAAAGTGATTAAAAACTGTCTGTTGAACAATTGCATTCTTTAAAAACAGGTGATTAACGGCATATAGATGTATTCCCTAATAAATATAACAATTTACTGAAATTTTGACAGCAAAAGTTAAGCACAGATTTTTGTATCGACAAATCAAATAAAAAATGAGTTCCCATGCTCGTTCTGGTTCTCGTCTAAATGTAGCATAGATTGCACATTGTCCAAAATTCACATTCAAATATATGTTCGCAGAAAAAAAGTTTATTGAATGAAATTTACTGATCAACATAAAGTACACATTTTCAACACAATAATCTTTGCATTCAATAAACCGGTTTTAAAATATTTAGGTCTTTTTAATATTTAAGTCTACATCTTCCCGTTTTATGTTTTACAAAAATATAGATATCCTTGAGACCATTCAGACAATAAAATCGTTGAAACGTATGGGGTCAACGGACAAATACTAGTAAATGATCCTCAGCAATTCTGTCAGACAAGCTAAACATCATTGAACTACGTTCTGGAATAGATTTGACACATTACAAAGTATTTCGCTCCTCAGCCAGATTTAAATGAAATCAGACAAATCGGTTTATTAGCTCTACTTAATTTAAAAGGATAGAAAATGACTTCATTATATGTATGTTCACGTTAACTTGTGGCGTGTTCCATGAGACAACTTAACTTGACATTCCTAAATTATCTCTCTTTGCGAACGAAAATTAGTGTCACTTTTAAATTTTGAAAATAATTATGGATCTAGATAGATAAAAAAATAATTTCATCATCTAAATACTAATAGCTTGATATTGTATTTAAGTCCTTGGTTTATTCGTGAAATATATTGGATACATAAGTAACAAAACAAACTTAACAAGCTTAGATTATCATATAAACTTGCTTGTGGGTGCGCTGCTTCCTGAACAATTTTTGTTTTGAGTGTTTCCACGTATAATGTTGGTGTTTACACTAATATAAACTTGACTTTTGACATAAACATAAAAATAAACAGTATACATCACTTAACATCAGACTTGAACACGCATGTTAAATGCTGAACGCATATGCAGCTGGGAAATCCCCGTGACGTCACTGGGAAACACCCCGCTTTTTCAATCTCTAACACAAATGAGTTCTCTGTCAGAGTTACGACAGGTATCGTAACTCTGAACGATCTGCGACAGGTTTACGATAGTTTCGAAAATCTATCTTATCTTAACCTTAAGATATCTTATCTTTGAACGTAACTTGTTAAGATTTATCTTAGCTACGATCGTTTCGAAAATCTAGGCCCAGGATTCTAAAGGTAGGCCCTGCTCGAAGGTGAGAATTTGCACGAATTTCCGCACTTTTGCACATATGCATGTTCAATACGAGTAAATGACAACACGTAGCAAGTTACGATCGTGTTCGAAAATCTTGGCCCTGATGAAACAAGGACTGGTCGGCTCGGAGTCGGTATACTGTGTCTGAGTTGGGCATTCATTCTTCCCCGCCCTTAAGACGGGGAAGTATACGGGAGAGGTTAATTTTGTGGCATGTAAGTCGACATGTTGGTTTCTTTGAAATTTCAAGCCACGCAGTTACCGAAACGAAACATACAAATCATGTGAAATGTTGATGTTTATCTTTTCATGCAATAAGAGATACTTCAAAATCGTCTTGCTATTCTGAGACTTAGTCACTTTTCGTAATGCTGATAACCCATGAAATTTGTTCATTTTGTTTTTGAAAAAGCTAAAAATGATCCCATTTCGCTAAAGTTAACCGGTCTATATTTTGTAAGAATAAACTATTGAGCATTGAGCGATTATCTCCTTTAGCTACAGGCGTAGTATAGAAGTGATAAGTCACGCACTGACCTGCATTGCTGTACATCGTATCTTATTCAAGCTGTATCACTAAAGAGTGAGTGATTATCTCCCTTACCCGAACAGCTCAATTGCGCACTACCTTTAGCAATGTATCGTATGTTATTCAGGCAGCCATCGAGAAACGTTCAAGGAAGGAATTTAGGCCAAGCCTGTCACGCGCACTCAATTTTCACACTGCTATTGCAACATATTGTTCAACACGATTAAATAACAAGCTTCTATAAAGTATGACTTTGTTCAATAAACAACACATGTAAAACAACGGGTTTGATATGAGAAATTTTTTATTAGATGTCTTCATAATCACATGTATGGCGCTTGCTGTGCACAGTTGAGCACAGCATTGTTTTAAATACTTCACTGTATGTAATGTATGGTACATACCGTTTCATGCGGCGGTTTACGTTTCTGCATGGTTTATTGCTTTGACCCCCCCAAAAATTAACTTCCAGCAGAGATCATACACCCGTATATGTTCTTAGCTTCTGGATACATAGGAAATCAACAGGTTGGTCTGTAGTTTGCAATTATTTTCCAAAAAGATAATACAGTTGCATGATATCTTCACGATGTTTAGGTTGAACATAGTAACATTCTTCTAAACAAATTTCAAATCTAAGCCGGAAGCAATCACAACACAAACCAAGTTAACCAAACGGAACCATACACAAGAGTGAGTGAGGTAGTTGGGTTTAACACCGTCTTGAATAGTATTCCGTGTCAGCTTGATGTGGGAGGAAAGTCTGAAGTGATGCAGGTCTTAGACGTTCACCACTTTGGTGAAACCAACGAGCAAGGGTTTTGTGCTGACAACAAAATCGGGGCGAACCGAGATTCAAACACACTGTCATAGGTTTCTGGCGTGCCCAAGGGACACAACTCTGCATAGCGAATTGCAGCGCCTTCGGCGACTGGGCCAACCATGCCCCAGTAAACAACTGTAAGAAATTATTATACAGCAAAGATGTTTTAGATGAGATATGTATTGCGGAACATTCCATGAAGAAACAGTGGCAATATTACACAATCACAAACTACAAAATACATGCACAATAAACGACAATTAAAAAACACAGGAACATTCAACATTCAAAGGAGGTACATTATAAGAATTTTATTTCAAAACAAGTGTATTATAATTATATGGAAACAATATGAGAATTGAGCAAAACTATGGTAATGTTGTACATACATGTACAAGGAATTTGTTTGTAATTGTTGATATGTTAACAGATCTTGGAAGTTGTTTCTGGATAACTGTTGGTAAACTTATTAAGAATCTGCTCCTTTTAACAGAGTGTACCAAATTCTTTATCATGATTGGGGATTATTTGTGATTCTCTTTCTTGGTTGTATTATGTAAGACAGTGCGTAGTGTTGTTCATCTTCTGAGACATCACATGTTTCACAGAGACGTTGTTCAAATGGGGTTGGTGTTTTTGAATATCTACAATTTTTTCAATTTTTAGTTTGTGATTGATTACTTAAACGAAGTTTTGAGAAAAGTGACCTATGGCCTTTGTTTTTACAATATGTAAGATAATTCTCAAAATTTATAGATAACGTGACCAAACTGTATGTTCCTAACTTGCTGCTAGATAAATGGGAATCCATTAATGATTGCGTGAATTTTTACATTCAACTGAAGTATATTTAGAGTGGATTCATTACATTTTTTGTGTTTACTATTTTAAAAGTTTGCCTTATTTAACCCAACCAACATTTTGACCAGAAATATTGATATTTGCTGCAAAAGCATGCTTTAGAATGACATTTGTTGTGTTATCTATACAGGATTTTTTTTTATTGGTACTAATAGTGGGTATATATCAAGTTTTGCCTGACAGGCCCAGTTTTCTTGCCTGGGTTTTCTTTGTGCTGACCAATTAAAGACACTGTTTCTTTTATTGTGCTTTCCAAAGATAAGTACATTAATAACAACCAATTTGTACTTAACACAAATTCTATCCTCCCATAGCTTACACTTATTTCCTCTGCACATAACATTATATTGCGGGGAGCTATTGATGCTCTGCAGCAATCTCTACTTGTTTTAAACTGCGGCATGGTATCTTTGTCTGCTAGCACTATAAAACTGGCATTAGTCCAGACTAGTACAGGCATTTTCGTGCAGTATTCTTGAACGCGACGTTGAACCCCATTTCCGCTCACGTCACCTCATTGTCACATCGTTTACTGGAGGAGATACGGTAAACCTCGAACGTTGAGACCGCGTCGTTGGCAGCGTCTGAGTCAGGGATATATCATTCAAAGGTGAGACGTGCGCGCTATTCTGTTTTAAAATCATGCATGATAAACTATCGGAGAATGAAGTGCATTTTGCCTTCCACATGTATTAAACTCACCGTCTTCAGCAACCCATGCTTGTCGTAAGAGGCGACTGATGGGATCGGGGTGGTCAGGCTCGCTGACATGGTTGATGCATGTCATCGTAGGACGATGCTCATTTTGTCAATGACTGGATTGTCTGGTCCAGGCCCGATTATTTACAGACCGCAGTCATATAGCTGGAATATTACTGCGTGCGGCATTAAAAAACAAGCAAACAAACTTCCCATCACCACCACGTGAAAAGAATGGACTTTCACCAGCAGACGACATGCATTTCTTCCACGCTTTCCGAATGCTGGGTCGTCTTAGGTAATGAACGCAATCCCTATTTTGCATGCTAACCCAAATACTAATCCCCCATGCCGTCTTGAATTTTGCATGGATGCTTTCATCAAGTCACCCAAGTCAGATCTCACGTGCCAGTTGTGCTGTACGTCACAACCGAGATATCTATATAACTACCATTCATGACTGGCGAAAACAGGCGATCGCGAGCGCTGTGATAAGGACGAATGAGCCAACAGATGACTCATGTCTTCTATTTTAGTGTTAATGCCGTGTCATAATGTGTAAAAGTTTATTGATTCACGGTTAAAAGGTTTTATTTTGATGTAAATCTAATTGTTAGAAGATCTTATTTCCAGTGTATATGTATTATGAACGAATATATAATCATAAAATAATATTAACTTCAGTTTCAAGTCAGTTGAGTGAGTGAGCATGGTTTTACACCGCTTTTAGCAATATTCTAGCAATATCACGGCGGGGGACACAAGAAATGGGCTTCCCACATTGTACCCATATCGGGAATCGAACCCGCTATAACCACGTTACCCGACCGCCCCACAAGTCAGTTGACATGTGGTATTATCATAGTGTTAATGCTGGTCCAAAAGACAACGTTATTACCTACAGCATACTAGCTAACACATTTTAGATCTGACTAGGTTTTGGTTTGTTGTTTAACGCCACACTCAGCAGTATTCCAGCTATATGACGGCGGTCAGTGAATAATCGAGTCTGGACCAGACAATCCAGTGGTTGACATCATGCGCATTGATCCACACAATTGGGATACAATGACATGCATCAACCAAGTCAACGAGCCTGACCACCCGATCCCGTTAGTCGCCTCTTACGACAAGCATAGTCGCCTTTTACAGCAAACATGGGTTGCCGTTTACTTGCTGATGGCGTCATCGCAAACCGACTGCGTGTATTGTGCTCATGCTATCAACCACTGGTTTGCCTGACCCAGGTGTGTGTATTTACAGGCGCCGTATTAATAGTTGAGACAAAGCTGACGGTTGATGTCAACTTACAGGGTTTATTTTTAAAAGCAAACCCTGAAGACACTTAATTTAGTTTTTCGAGTTCAATATTTTTAGACGATACCGTTTTGTGCAAAGAAAGGACATAAAATAAACATTTGAGGGAGTGAGAGCCCTAAAGTAGCCACTTGGCATGTAAGTTAAGTTACAATATCAAGGAAGATTCCGGGGTAGAAAAGGTCTTCAGCATCCCATGCTTGCCGTAAAAGGTGACTATGCTTGTCGTAAAAGGCGACTGTCGGGTGGTCAGGCCCGCTGACTTGGTTGATGCATGTCATCGATCCCAAATGCGTGGATCGATGTTCATGATGTAAATCACTGGATTGCCTGGTCCAGACTCAATTATTTACAGACCGCCGTCATATAGCTGGAATATTGCTGAGTGCGGCGTAAAACAACAAACCAAAAATACAATATCAAGGCTTGTCAGCTTACATTAGGAGGAAACCAGGTCACACAAGGCGTTGAGGTTTACGACCTTGGTGAAACAATCGAGCATGGATTGGATGATGACAAGCATGGGGTCGTACCATGGAATCAAATACAGACCAACTCAGCCCACCCCACTTGGCCCTGAAAAAAGGTGGAAGAAATAAGGACTTGAAAAATAGCACGCCACAGAGGCGTTTGTGGTTATCTCCCCCTTATCATCAGATTCTTTTTTGTCGTTTAGTCTACCATGGCGGCTGATGACCTCACCAGAAGGAAGTTCATCATCGACACAGACGCCGGCATCGATGACGCCCAAGCTATACTGATGTGTCTAGCGGCGTCTGACGTCGATGTCGTTGCTCTGACCACGGTCAAGGGCAACGCTACTGCAGCACAGGTGACCTCAAACCTTCTCCGACTTCTAAAGGCGGCGGACAGATTGGAGGCAAGTGCTTACAAATCTTGTGATTGACAATCCTCGTTTTAAGATAAATAAGCTCCAAGTTAGTTAAGTCCGGAATATACACGCGCGTCCATGGAATTCGCGATATGAGTGAACTAACCTTGAACCCGACGTTAAAACCGCATTCCCCCTCACCTGTCACCAAAAACGTAAGCTTATGGCACGGCGCACCGTCTGTTGACTACAGACGTTCTCCTATCACCCGTCAATACATTGGATCTCAAGTTTAGATCAATATGATTAATGATCTCTTCTGAGAAATAAAAGCATGATTATAAGAAATCTCGGCTAAAACCTGAGTCCATTGTTTGATTCTTGCCATATAAGGCAAAGGAAACCGACAGGTATTTTGTACTTTGCTGTGGTTTCATATTTACCTTATGTTTTAAAGGGGCGGTCGGGTAGCCTAGTGGTTAAAGCGTTCGCTCGTCACCCCGAAGACCCGGGTTCGATTCCCGACATGGGTACAATGTGTGAAGCCCATTTTTTGTGTCCCCCGCCGTGATATTGCTGGAGTATTGCTAAATAGGCGTAAAACCATACCCACTCACTTTAATTTTTAAACAATGTTTTACATCTACGCCCCTGAAAGCATGAAGCACACAATCAAGGACTGAAATTATGTAGCACTACAATAGGGCGCATGATATTTAATAATTAACTGAAATTGAAAAATGACGCACATGTGTTGCGTATGTTTATCACTTTATCACAATTGACTTATTATTATTTGTTTTTAAGGTTAACTGATATGTGTGTGGGTGTTTCTATTTTTAGACTTGGACATGTAATACATTTCTTATCTGCCACCAGATCCCAATCTACAGAGGCTGTGAGGACATGTAATACATTTCTTATCTGCCACCAGATCCCGATCTACAGAGGCTGTGAGGATATGTAATACATTTCTTATCGTCCACCAGATCCCGATCTACAGAGGCTGTGAGGACATGTAATACATTTATTATCTGCCACCGGATCCCAATCTACAGAGGCTGTGAGGACATGTAATACATTTCTTATCTGCCACCAGATCCCGATCTACAGAGGCTGTGAGGATATGTAATACATTTCTTATCGTCCACCAGATCCCGATCTACAGAGGCTGCGAGGACATGTAATACATTTCTTATCGTCCACCAGATCCAGATCTACAGAAGCTGTGAGGATATGTAATACATTTCTTATCTGCCACCAGATCCCGATCTACAGAGGCTGTGAGGACATGTAATACATTTCTTATCGTCCACCAGATCCCGATCTACAGAGGCTGCGAGGACATGTAATACGTTTCTTATCATCCACCAGATCCCGATCTACAGAGGCTGTGAGGACATGTAATACATTTCTTATCTGCCACCAGATCCCGATCTACAGAGGCTGTGAGGACATGTAATACATTTCTTATCTGCCACCAGATCCCGATCTACAGAGGCTGTGAGGACATGTAATACATTTCTTATTGTCCACCAGATCCCGATCTACAGAGGCTGTGAGGATATGGAATACATTTCTTATCGTCCACCAGATCCCGATCTACAGAGGCTGCGAGGACATGTAATACATTTCTTATCGTCCACCAGATCCAGATCTACAGAAGCTGTGAGGATATGAAATACATTTCTTATCTGCCACCAGATCCCGATCTACAGAGGCTGTGAGGACATGTAATACATTTCTTATCGTCCACCAGATCCCGATCTACAGAGGCTGCGAGGACATGTAATACGTTTCTTATCGTCCACCAGATCCCGATCTACAGAGGCTGTGAGGACATGTAATACATTTCTTATCGTCCACCAGATCCCGATCTACAGAGGCTGTGAGGATATGAAATACATTTCTTATCGTCCACCAGATCCCGCTCTACAGAGGCTGTGAGGACATGTAATACATTTCTTGTCTGCCACCAGATCCCGATCTACAGAGGCTGTGAGGACATGTAATACATTTCTTATCGTCCACCAGATCCCGATCTACAGGGGCTGTGAGGACATGTTGCTTGGCTGGGAGAAACCCGATGAATACAACTATCACGGCAAGGATGGGTTTGGAGACGTTCCTGACCCCGACCCACCCAGTCGAGACCGGATCCAGGCCAAACACGCTGTACAAGCACTGATTGACATTACCAAACAATACCCAGGTACCAAAGCCATGGACACAGCACATACATTGTGCAACAACTGAAAACTAGGATAGAGCCATCTGCATCCGTTGTAAATCTGCACACATACTCGTCTATACGCCACTTCCATGTATAACTAGTGCCTAATATTTATTAAGTATTTGGTTTACGGATCCCTTAAACTTAAAAACGATAATAAAATAATTTGTCAAAATGTTTGTCATCGTCTTGGGAGACTTCAGGCAACATTAAAACAGAAAAACAGAACTCTAAACGTCTGGTGTGTTATTCAAGTCACCACGTAAAGGACCATAATCGGGTTTCCACCTTCAGATCCAATTAGATGTGAATATAAATTGTCAATGCAGGAGATGAACCAGTCTAGATTATCCGCCGAAACAGATTCCATTTGGCGTAAAGGGCAAAATAGCTGTGAAAATTAAATAAATGGACCACGAAAAATCAGTGATGAGACCGGGTGTTCGCGAAAAGGGTAAGCGTGTCCTACGATACCGGTAGCACCCGCCATTCACACAATTTGTGTAAAAAAAGTAAGTATTTAATGCCTGAAATTTTATCACTGAAATAGTGCTCAAAGAGTTCATTTCCAGGGGAAATCAGTCTGGTAGCTCTCGGACCACTGACGAATATTTCGATGGCTATTCGGATGGACAACCAGTTCGGCAGCAGATTGAAAGACTGTTTCATCATGGGTGGCAATTATAAAGGTGAGTACGTACCACACATAATGCACTGTAGCTCACCTGCATCTGCAGTCAATACAGACGGTCACTTTACCAAAATATGGGCTAATTGATATGCTTTTTAAAAAATAACTATTTTGTTGATTTTATAACACTTTAATCTTTGTGTGTGGAGACAAAAAGGTATGCTTAGTTACAGAATATTTAGTTAAACAGTCTGGGGTGAAAGTAGAACAACTTGTTAGCTTTGTGTTCTTGAACATAAAATGTGGAACTGTTCATGAAATTTGAATTTTTCAATATTTTTAACAACAGCTAAGTTATGACGATAAAATCATCATAGAAAGAATGAAATACTTCAGTGGTCAATAGTGGTTAAAGCGTACGCTCGTCACTCTGAATGCCCGGGTTCTCTGCCCCACATGGTTACAATGTGTGAAGTCAACTTCTGGTGTCCCCCGCAGTGATATTGCTGGAATATTGCTAATTGTACAGAATTATATGACTCAATGGACCTTATCCCACATGAGTCCTACTACTAACAACTAAATATATACAGGAAAGGGTTACACATTCTTGCGATCAATCGAGCCACCATTGTGACCTGGTCACTCGGTAAATATACGTTTTCTTTCACAATGCATGAGAAGCTTTGGTTATAGATATAAAAATACTTAATCCAAACACATTTTACAGGTGAAGGCAACGTCACACCGAGTGGGGAGTTCAACTTTTACAGTGACCCAGAAGCTGCCTACATCGTGCTGAACTCCCTGGGATGCCCCATCACGCTGACCTGTTGGGAGCTCTGTCTGGACTGTTTCTTTCCCTGGGTAGGTTTTAACAATCTAATACGTATGATCTTCTTTGCCTGGGTAGGTCTTTACAATCCAATACTTTTGACCTTTCCGTGGGTAGGTCTTTACAATCCAATAGTTTTGACCTTCTTTCCCTGGGTAGTTGTTTACAATCCAGTACTTTTGATTTTCATTCCGTGGGTAGGTTTGAAAAATCCAATACTTTTGATCTTTCCTTTTGGTAGATCTTGACAATCCCATACTTTTGACCTTCCTTTCCCAAAGAAAGGCCAAACAATCCAATACTTTTGACCTTCTTTCCCTGGGTAGGTCCTTACAATCCAATACTTTTGACGTTCTTTTCCCAAGGAAGGGCCTAACAATCCAATACTTTTGACCTTTCCGTGGGTAGGTCTTTACAATCCAATAGTTTTGACCTTCTTTCTTTACGTAGGTCTTAACAATCCACTAGTTTTGACCTTCTTTCCCAACGTAGGTCTCAACAATCCACTACTTTTTACCTTCTTTCCCTACGTAGGTCTTAACAATTCAATACTTTTGACCTTCTTACCCTACGTATGTTTTTACAATCCACTAATTTTGACCTTCTTACCCTACGTAGGTCTTAACAATCCACTACTTTTGACCTGCTTTCCCTACGAAGGTCGTAACAATCCACTACTTTTGACCTTCTGTTTCCCAGGAAGTTCCCAACAATCCACTACTTTTGACTTTCTTTTCGTGGGTAGATCTTAACAAGCCAATACTTTTTACCATTTTTCCAAGGGTATGTCATAACCTTCGTTCCGTGGGTATATCGCTCGTCACGCCGAATGCCCAGATTCTCTTCCCACTCTCGGTACAACATGATATGGCTGGAATGCTATACCATACCAAGCCAGATGATTGCTGACTGTGCAGCAAAACAACATTCACTCACTCGTTTACTTCTACAAGCTACATTCACTCATACAGACCAAATGTGTGAATCCCATTGTTCGCGTCCCCTTGATATAACCGGGGCTGTGTGGTAGCCTGGTGCTTAAAGCGTTCGCTCGTCACGCCGAAGACCGGGATTTGAAGCCCATTTCTGGTGTCCCCGCCGTGATATTCTAGAATACTGCTAAACGCGGCTTAAAACCATACTCACTCACTTTATAAACTGACTCACTGGCTCATTCAATAAGTCACAATGTTTTGCATTATTAGTTGTCAGTTAGACGACAGAGGTGACTTTGTACATGGAGACAGTGATGACAAGAACCTTGTTCGCTTTGTCCTTCACCAGCACGGACGAAAAACCTGTTGTATGTCTGTTCTGTATTCCAGGAGGTTCATGAAGAATTGAGAAGCTTTCCGTCGGCAAAATGCGAGCTCATGAAGACACTGGAACTTGCCATAGTAACGGAATGCAAGAAAGAAGACCGGAAGTACGAGATGGCAGACGAGATGGCAATGGCGTGCGCACTTGATAATGACGTCATCACAAAAAGCCATGACGTGTACGCAACTGTGGAATTGCATGGTCACATGACCAGAGGTCAGATGGTTGTTGACTGGCGTAAAGTGCTGGCCAGGAAGCCAAATGTGAGACTTGTGGTTGAGATGGACAAAGCAATGTTGAAGAAGATGCTCTTGAAAGCATTCGAGGACTAATTATGAGCCTGGCGAACTACCATATATTCTATCAAACCCGACACCCATTCGAATATAAACAGTTGATTATTTTTGTTTGTTAAAAGGTTACGAATGTATATAAATCACCAAGGCACGCTAATATTAAAAAAAACTAACTGTTTATGTCTTATTAAAATAAAAGCATTATGAACATTTCGATTTTTCTCATGTAGTTTAGCCATTCTTATTAGCCAGGAATCCAAAACGTGCAAGTGCATAATGTAGAAATTGGGTAGTCGTCAGCGATTAGTTTATTTACCAATCTTTATAGTTTTCTTACCAATCAAAATTTTTCCGAACTTTACAATCTGACATTTCCAATAAGCCTGAAAAAGGGGAGGGGGAAAGAGAGCTGGGATTTTTTCGAAAACAATAACTTGTCCCTGAAAATTCTTAAAAATAATATTGTTCCAAGGTGTTCAATATATTCGAGCTCTTAGTTTTAATTCAATATCTGGTTTTGGAGTTGTAGCTAAACAAATATCTAACCTCAATCACACATCTGGTGAAGCCGATAGCCGTCCTGCAATATTGGTCCAGACGTTCACAGATATAGCGACTCCGTAGGCACCACGAGAAATTCTTCTACGATGTTAAATTTAAATGGCATAATACTTTATTTTGTTAACTGACCGTGATGTACGTCACCAGCACCCAGGAACACGACCCAATTCATCCAGTCTCATCGTGTCTAACAGGCGACTTAATGGTTCTGATGGTGACTCGTGCTCCGTGACGTTGTGATCGCGCCTCATCGTATCTCGACGGCGTAGGACGTTGCACATATCAACACATGCTTCGTCTGGACCAGACTCCATTATTTACAGGCCGCTGTGATATAGCTGGAATATTGCCGAGGTGTTTCAAGGTGTTTCAGCTCCATACAAGTGCTCGTGGGTTTCACCAAAAATGGTATACGTCTAAGACCTGCAACTTTACGTGAGATAACAGAAATACTGTTAAAACCGAACTCACTCACTGTTCGTCCAATCGGTTTGGACACTTCGTTATTAATGTCACAGATCCTCGACCGCGTCATACCAAAAGACGTTAAAAGATGGTACGTGTTGTTTTCCTGCCTGACGTTCGGCATTATGTTTGTTTGTTTTGTTTTGTTTGTTGTTTAACACCGCACTCAGCAATATTTCAGCTATATGACGGCGGTCTGTAAATAATCGAGTCTGGATCTAACAATCCAGTGATTGGCATCTTGTGCATCGATTCACGCAATTGAGATCGATAACATGCATCAACCAAGTCAGCGAGTTTGACCACCCGATCCCGTAAGTCGCCTCTTACAGCAAGCATGGGTTGCTGAAGACCTATTCTACCCCGGATCTTCACGGGTCGGTCGGCATAATTGGGCAAAAAAGGACTGGTCGGCTCGGAATCAGTATGCTGTGTCTGAGTGGGGTATTCATGTTAAACTGCGGCATTGTATCTCCGTGTCGCTAGCACTATAACATTGAGTAGTATAGGTAATGATGGTTCTGGCTCACTTCCACTGGAGCTGGATTTATATACCTATACCATCACTACAGGGGGAATTTTTTATGCCAAAATGATTATGTGATTCAACGATAGTCATGAGATTAAGCTCACCACCACCTGGAGCCAATGATATAAATTTTTATAGGTAATGATGGTTCTGGCTCACTTCCACTGGAGCAGGATTTATATTAAACGAAATATCAATATTAATTAATAATGAATAAAATTTACTATAGCCCACGAGGATATTGGAAAGGTGTAGGAGCAATAAAAAAATTAGCCACCGCGGCTAAGGTATCTAAAGATGTGGCCAAGGATTGGTTAAAGAAACAAGCGATGTGGCAGATATATTTACCGGCACCGCGTTATATACCGAGGAAGAAGTTTGATATTTTTACAACGAATGAAGTTCATCAGGCTGACCTCTTGTTTCTTCCCCACGATAAGGTAAAACGCAAAACGTATAAATACGCTTTAACAGTAGTGGATGTGGCTAGTCGATACAAAGAGGCTGAGCCATTAACCTCGAAAGAATCAACAGAGGTAGCTAATGCACTGAGTCGTATATATAAACGCAGACCACTAAAATGGCCTAAGCTATTTCAAGTAGATCCCGGTCGCGAGTTTATGGGATCGGTAACTAAACTGTTAACAAAGCATGATGTCGAAATCGTCCGTGGTGAAAGAGAGGCCCACCGCAGTCAAGCTATCGTCGAAAGATTTAACAGGACATTAGCGGAACGTTTGTTTGGCTATCAGTATGGGATCGAAATGAAATCCGAACGATTGAGATCAACCGAATGGGTGACACGATTACCAGCCGTTGTATCAGCGTTGAATAATGAAGTGACGAGATTAATAGGGAAGAAACCATCCGATGCTATTAAAATGAAATCCGTGACTTCCGAATCTTCAGCACCGAGGAGAGGCAAAGAACGAAAACTTCCGGATAGAGTAAGGGTAAGATATTTATACCAGCCCGGTGAACTCGAAGGAGGCCTACGTCGTGCAACCGATCCGATTTGGTCTCTTAAGACATATAACATTAGTCGATTGGTTACGAAAGAAGGAGAGCCAATTCTTTATTATCTTCAAGATGGACCGGGTAGGGCATTTGTACGAGAAGAGTTGTTCATAGTTCCCGACGGTACGGTATTACCACCATAACCATAAGCATAGGTATTTACACCATCATTATCAATCCATCTCTTTGTATCTAAGGGGGATAATGATGTCTTGTTCATTCTTAATCCATATATCCTATGATTGTAACTTCTTAAAGAGTTCATCTCGTGTTTGAACGTTCTACCGTTGAATAATGATTCTTTATACTGTTCGTGTTTGATATGCTTTTTTACAACATACTTCTTAACACCCTTAGCTTTTCTTATCTCTCCATTATCGGACTTCTTTATAGAATACATCTTAGGTCTTAATCCTACATACTCCGCTATAGGGGTCCCAGCACATTCATCCTTCATCTTACCTAATACCTTTTTATTTACTACGCTGTGCAGTGGATTATCTTTTGGGTAATCGCTCGTGTCGTACATATCTATTTTTTCTGCCATATCTTTATACACATCCTCGGTTTGTATTTCCATCAACAAAGAATCTGTGTCGGTATATAACACCTCGCATCTATCGCCGTATTGCTTCTTAAGTTCGTTGTAATAAAAGTCATACATTAAGTGTTTTGACAAGTCGAGAATACTCATACCGACGTACACCGGTCTGTTGAATTTTATATTACTCTTCTGCATATGCAACGCGGCTAAGTCGTTATCGAATATCTTGCTTCTGTTAAAAGCCGGACTGGCTATAAGTTTCCTGAGTCTTTCTTCCTCATTAGATCTGACTAATTTAACATCAACACGCTTCCTTAGATTCTCCATAGTTTTACCAAATACCGAGTTATTCATGAGCTTATATAGATTCTTTTCGAAATCGCTGGTAGCTATCTTTCTTAAATCTGTGTTCAACCTTATATAGGGCTCCATCCAAGGGCTTTGATCAAACTTTAGAACTCTGTGTATTTTCTTAAGTTTCATACCTAACGATAGATACAACTGGAGATTTCTGTAGTGAACTATATATTTTGTTTTATCCATCAAATTTGGTACGAGTTTTTCTACGTTAGCTAACCTACTATTACCCATCAAGGAGCGTTGATATTCAGACATCCAATCTTTATTAACCATTAATCTTTCGGGAGCTAGCGGATAACTGTTATGATCTTTATGTAACGAACTTGGATATTCCAAGTCAACTTCTAGTATGTACCCTTTATTCACATCATTATTATGGATATTAATAACATTGATATTATCGATATCATTGACCCATTCAAAACCACCCGTGGGTAAAGGTTGACTCATAGCCCATCCGTACAAATTGTTAGCGTCGAGATATAATATGTGCGTGTCGGGTTTACTGGGATCGTATCCTTCCACTAATTTATTATTAGCCTTAGAATACCTTTTAGCTGCCATCGATATACCACCTCTTAATCGTTTCTCAATAAACAAGTGCATATCGTAATCTGTGAGTAGTTTTAGTTCTACGCCGGTCTTCTTCAACAATGCATCCCAAGATAGTCCGGGACTGGAATAGTACCATGCCGGGTCCAAGCCGTATTGTTTGAAACATGTCTTTCTAAATATCTCGAATATATCGGCGAGTAACAATACATCTGTTTTTAAGTACAGATCGTGATAATCGCCTAAATTCTTACAACCTAATTTATCCCAGACCGTCAGAGCGTGTTCATAATCGGCATCTGTTATTCTAGATTCTGTTAAGTTACTATAGAATGATTCGAGGGGTGGTAATTCAGTTTCTTCGAATCTAGACCAATCATCCATATATTCGTAAGGATATACACCTTTTCTCAGCAACAAATGACGAGTAATCTTATCGGTATATTTATTTGTTATCGCGAAGTCATCGGGATTGTTCGCATTAGCTAAATTGTCCAGGGAAGATAACAGAAACTGTATGGAGTCTATGAATCTAAGCCCATTACTTTGCTTTGTTCTAGATTTCCCATCCTTGTCCCTATAATGTATAGGTTTAGTCAACGAGAACGATATGTATTTTTCCATATTATTAGGAATGCACGTTAAACCGCCGTCGGTCTTTGAGATAGCTTGCATAATGAGATGTGAATCGTATCCCCAAAGGTTATGAAACACAACGGGGATGGGTATTGTTTGAGAGTTCATTTTTAGTTTCAAGTTACACTCGTTATGAGCGGCTCCCCGATAATTACCCGTGACGTGACAATGATCTCTTACGGAATCCCCATCCAGGGGTTTATTACAAACGTGACAACTCGTTGACTTCTTATGAGCACTCCAATCATCCATCGTCATACGCATGGGTTTCTTACACGATAATTTTTCCCTGATTATTCTCTCTTCATTTTGTAGATATTCTAGGAACTTTCCCGCTGCATCGGGACCTCTGTAAATCACGGGCGGGTTTGTTTTCCCATCATACCTTACAACTATATATCCAAACCCACAAGGAATATGTTCTTGAGTTTTGTACGTAAAACTACTATCAGTATTGCTATGGTTGGTATTTTCTATGGGTTTGATAAGCGCTTCGTAATCGGCGTAAATTACTTGCGGTACTGGCATTTGATTACAATAATGTTCAAA